AGAAGCAGTGTGTTAGTGCGCGCCCGGGATCCGAACCCGGGCCGCCAGCAGTGGAGCGCGTGCACCCAAACACTAAGCCACAAGGCCAGCCCAAGCCAACTGGTTTTTAAGTTATTACCATTGACAGTTCTTTTTCTTGTTGTTCTCCCGATATTAGGACTATCAGAAGTTGTTCTTTTCCTCTGCTTTCTCTTTCACAATTTTTAATACCATATTTTGAATTCATTGAGTATATTTTGTTGATTTTATTTTTTAAAATGCAGCTGTGGGGGTCTTAATTTCCTTTTTGCATTCACTTTTTCCTTATTCTTAAATTAATAAATAATTGACGTAAATAAAATTCTAGTATTTTAAGTGTGAGTTATTTGCTAGCTTTTACAAATACACATAGCCATTTATCCACCACACCAATCAAGAAATACAATATTTTTGTCACCCCAAAAGTTATTTTGTGCCACTTTCCAGTTGACTCTCTACCTCGAGACGCGACAATATTGATTTCTTCTTTTTCCAGCTTTATTCAGATATATTGATATACAGCATTGTGCAGGGTTAAGGTATACAACATGAGGATTGATACATGTATATATTGTGAAATGATTACCACAAGAAGGTTAGTTAACACTTCCATCATCTCACATAATTACCATTTTGTGTGTGCGTGGTGAAAACATTTAAGGTCTACTCTCAGCACCTTTCAAATATATAATACAGTATTGTTAACTATAGTCATGATGCTGTACATTGGATTCCCAGAACATATGCATCTTATAACTGGAAGTTTGAATCCATTGACCAACATCTCCCCATTTTCCCCAACCCCTAGCCCCTGGCAACCACAAGTCTACTCTCCATGTGTTTGAGTTTACTTTTTTTAGACTCCAGTTGTAAATGAGGTCGTACAGCATTTGTTGTTCTCTGTCTGATTTATTTTACTTAGCCTAATGCCCTCAAGGTCCATCCATGTTATTATAAAAGGCAGGATTTTCTTGTTTATCACTGAATAATATTTATACATATATTTCACAGCAGTTTGTTCTTTTTATTCCTGTGTAGCATTCCTCTGTAAGGATATGCAAAAATAGGTTTACCCATTTCTCTTTTGAGAGATGTTTTCTTTGTTGCCAATGATTGGCTATTATGAATAAATCTGCCATGAACATATTTTGTAAGTGTTTTGTGGACATTTGCTTTCATTCCTCTCTCTTATATGTCTGGGTAGATATATATTTAATTCTATAAGATGCTGCCCACATCTTTTCCGAAGTGGGTGCCACGCAACACCACGTAACACAATATCAGTTGCTCATATTCTTTCCAACAATGGATACTGCCAGTTTTTTTTTTTTTAATATGTTAGTCATTCCAATGGGATAAGCAGTATTATCTCATTTAGTTTTATTTTCTATTACCCTAATATCTAATTATGTTGAACATTTTTTTTTCATTTTCTTATTGGTTATTTATATATCTTTTTAGTAAATTGTTCTAGTCTTCTGTACATTTAATAAGCTTGTTTTTTAATTATTGAATTCTAGCAGCTATTTATAAATACTGGATTAAAGTTGTTTGTAAGATATATATATATAGAGAGAGTGACTTTACTCCCCAAGTCTATAGCTTATATTAATGTTCTCAAGGGTCTTTTGATGAGAGTGAGCTTTTTAATTTTTATTAAATTTACTTACATTTATTTTTCTTTTCTGTTTAGTGCTTTTTGTGTCTTGTCTCAGAAACATTTTCCTAAACCAAGAAGACTTTGGAAGTCTTCCCTTATATTTGCTTCTAGAAGCTTTATAGCACTAGCTTTTAAGTATGGTGTGATTTCATTTGTTTATGTTTCATCTCTTAACCAAATATGCTGGGACACAATTTATACACAATTAAAGACATCTATTTTAAGTGAAGAGTTTGATGTGTCTTGACAAATATGTACACCCATGTAACCACCATCATGATCAAGATATGAAACACTTTCATCACCCTTAAATATTCCCTCATGCCTGCTCCCTATCAGTCCCCTATACCACCACTAGTCTCTAACCAGTAGTTGCTTTCTGTCACTACGACTTTGTTTGACAATACTAGAATTTCATATGAATAGAATCACATAGTATGTACTTTTTGGTTTTTGGCTTCTTTCACTCAGCATATTTTTGAAATTTATCCATTCCACGTGTGACTTAGTACTTCATTCTTTTTGTTCCTTTGTATAAATATAAGACAATTTGTTTATCCGGGCACCTGAGGATGGATGTTTAGTTTTTTCCCAATTTTCAGCTCTTAGGAATAGAGCTGCACATTCGTGTACACATATTTACAGAGTTGTATGGAGATATTTTTTATTCTATTAAACAAATATCTACGTGTGGCTCTGCTGAGTCATATAGTAAATATATGTTAACTTTATAAGAGATTGTCAATTAGGCAAAGTAATTTTGCCATCCTACATTCTCAACAGCAATGTATGAGGGTTACCAGTGGATTGACTTAATCAACAAAACTTGCCAGTCTTAATTTCATCCATCAAGTAGATGCATAATGATATCTAATTGTGTTTGGAATTTGAATTTCCTTGATGACTAAAGGTCCTAACTATCTTTTTGTGTGTCTATTGACTATCTCTATATTTTCTTTACTTGAGTGCCTTCTCAAATCTTTTATCCATTTCCTAATTTGAATGTCTGCCTTTCCAATTTTTGGATTAGATCATTTGTCTTATTGAATTATAAGAGTTCTTCTTATTTTCTAGGTAATTTTTGTCACACATATATTCTGCAAATATTTTCACCATTTTGTGGTTTGCTTTTAATTTCCTATCAGTGTCTCTTAAAGAGCAGAAATTTTCTTTGTTTTGATAAAGTACAATTTTCTGATTTGACTTTTATTATTTATGTGTTTTGTGTCATATTTAAGAAATGTTTGCAAAAATCTGATCTCACTAAGATTTTATTCAACGTTACTTTTTAGAAGTTTTATAATATCAGCTCTTACAGTCAGGATATTATCCATTTCCAGTTAATATTTTATATGATGTGAGAAAAGGGCAAATTTTTTTTTTCTATCCAAATGCCCCATTGTTGAAAAGATTATCCTTTCACCATTGAGTTGCCTAGGCAGCCTTGTAGAAAATTAATTGACTATACAAATGTGGACCTATTTCTGGACGCCTTATTTTGATCTATTTGTCTACATTTATATTAATACCAAAGTGTCTTTTTAAATGTAGCTTTATAAATGAGTCTTGGAATCAGTGTAATTCCCTCTTGATTTTGCTCTTTTGGTTCCTGGGGGAAGTCCTCTATCAGGAGGTACTATACTTCAGAACTTTCTGGGAAGCCACCCTCTGGGGTACTGAAGGAAGCCTTCCATGGGAAGGTGCCTAACTATGGAAATTCTTTGGAAAAAACCTGTGGGGATGATACTTCTGAAACTGCATGGGAGGGAGTGCCACTGGATGTTCCACATGCTGCTGGCCTGCCAGCAGAGGAGAGCACACCAGAACCAGGGAAAGAATCCCTTTCTAACTCTGGTGTCCCTTTAGCATCTTATACTGACAAAGCTTAATATTATGTCAGCTGGCAAGGGAGAAATATTCCACTATCACAAGCAGAGCAGCTAAAGGAAGGTTTAGAGTTGAGCTACAATTATATCCCTTACTTTTACAGTCTACTTCGAGTTAATATTGAATGACTACACCTGAAATGTAGAAGCTTTGGAATTACAAAGATTCATTTTCCTCTACCCTACCCTTTATGCTATAGTATATTACATATCTATACATTAAAAACCCATAGGAAATGTTATAATTTTTGCTTTATTTATAAGTATTCTAAAGAAATTATGAAACAAATAATCTTTTATGTTTACTCAAATATTTATAATTTTAATGCTCATCATATTTTCTTGATGATAGATTTTTAATATCTCTATTTATTCATATTATCCTGAAGGTAAGCATGAGGTTTGTAGAGCAAGGATAGATTTGTATAACTTACAGCAATAACTGAATACATTCCTTATTGACCTAATCCTTCTGGAGTTGTGTGATGAGAGCCAGATGTCACCCTACATGCATGGGGGTTTGTACTGCATAAAAGAAACCCTGAAATTAGGAATCTAGAGACTTACATAGGAATGGAATAGCCGTTACCTTTCCTTCCTGAGAGAGAAAGAGGGACTTTTCCTCCCTTGTTAATTACAGTCCTTGGGAATATAAACAATTTGTTCCATGGTTCTAGGTTTCATCACACTTTGAAATGTAAACACATTAGTCTGGGAAGGTAAATCTCTCATTAATTATTTAGCCATATTTTAGATTTCAAGCCTTGTCTTTTAAACTGGGTTCCAGGTTTCTTTACTCAGAAAGCCCTAGCTATGAGGAAAAATTAAAATATTCACTTTCTAATATGTAACTATTTGAGTTTCTGCCTGGTACAATTTCCCATGGAACTACTATAAAGACCAATACAAACAGAAGAAAACAACAAAAAAGAAAGAATAAGAGATCTCTTCCAGAAGATTCAAGAAATCAAAGGGAAATTTAAAACTAGAGTAGGAAGCTTAGTCTGTGTTTTATAGACTATAGTAAAACCTTTGACTGTGTGTATCATGAAAAGCTATGGGCTGCTCTAAAAGAAATGGACGTGCCTCAGCACTTGATTGTCCTGATGCATAACCTGTATAGTGGGTAAGAAACCACTGTCAGGACAGAATATGGATAGACAGAATAGTTTCCCATAGGTGAAGGTGTCAGACTAGGGTGATTTTTATCTCCCTATCTGTTTAATCTGTATGCAAAATATATCATACAAAAAGCTGGGCTAGACTCAGATGAAGGAGGAGTAAAAATTGGTGGAAGAAATATCAGTAAGCTAAGATACGCTGATGACACCATCTTAGTGGCAGAAAGCAGCAATGACTTGAAATGACTTGTGACAAAAGTGAAAGAAGCAAGTGCCAAAGCAGGACTGCATTTGAACATTAAGAAGACAAAAAACATGACTACGGAAGAACCACACAGCTTTAACATAGACAATGAACACATTGAAATTGTTAAAGATTTTGTTTATCTTGGTTCAGTCATAAGTTTAAATGTAGACTGTAGCCAAGAAATCAAGAGAAGACTTAGATTTGGAAGGGCAGTAATGAAGGAATTAGAAAAATCATCAAGGTAAGGAAGTGTGATTAGATACTAAGGCTGAGATTATTGACACCCTTGTATTCTCAATTACTATGTATGGATGTGAAAGCCCAACAGTGAAGAAGGGTGACAGGAATAAACTTGATTAATTTGAAATATGATCTTGGAGGAGAGCTCTATGGATACCCTGGACTTCCAGAAAGATGAACAAGTGGGTCCTAGAGCAAATTAAGCGTGAACTATTGCTGGAGGCAAAAATGATAAAAATGAGGCTGTCCTATTTTGGACACACCATGAGAAGGCAGGATTCTTTGGAAAAGACAATAATGCTGGGAAAAGCAGATGTAGAAAAGTAGAAAAAGCAGAAAGACTAAATATGAGATGGATTGACTCCAGAAAGGAAGCCATAGGCATGAGTCTACAGAAGCTGAGTAGGGCTGTTGAGGACAAGACATTGTAGACATCACTTATTCACAGGGTTGCCAGGAGTTAGAACTGACTGGACAGCACATAACAACAATGATTTCCCTTTAGCTTTAAAAACTCTCTTTGGTATTTCAGGTAGTATAGATCGACTGGTGACAAATTCTCTTAGTTTTATATTATATAAACATGTCTTTATTTTGTCTTCAACTTTGAAGAATATTTTCAGTGAAAATATAATCCTGAATTGGTAGCTTTATTAATTTTTTTTCCTTTCATCATTTTTAGGATTGTGTTCCACTGTTTTCTGGCCCCCATAATTTCTGGTGAGAAGTCAGCAGTAATTTTACTCCTTGTATGATGCTTTTTGTTTGATCTGCTTTCAAGATGTTCTTTTTATCTTTAATTTTTAGCAATTTGACTCTGTTCTGCCTAGGCATGGTTTTCTTTATATGTATCCTGCTTGATATTTGTCAGGATTCTTGAATTTATAAATTCACGTCTTTGAGAAAATTTGTGAAATTTTTGGCCATTAGTTTCAAATATTTTTTCTTATTCTCTAGATCTTATTCTAGGTCTTATTCTCTAGATTATTTATTTCTAGAACCCCAATTACACATGTGTTACATCAATTCATATAGTTCCTCAGGTGTTTGAGGTTCTATTTGTCTTTTTCTTTAATTGTTTTTCTATCTTCCTCACATTGGATTATTTCTATTGATCTATTTTCTCATTCACTATTTCTTTCCTCTGTCATATCCGTTCTGATGCTAATCTCATCCATTAAAGTTTTTTTTTTCAGATAATGTGTTTTTAGTTCTATCTTTTTTTTTTTTGGTTCTTTTTTAGTAGTTTCTATTTCTCTTCTAAGATTTCTTATATACTTATTCATTGTAAGCACATTTTCCTTTACAACATAGGACATAGTTATCATAGATGTTTTAAAATCTTGGTCTACTAATTTTTCAACATTGAATTATATCTCATTGAACCTTCATTGACTGTCTTCTTTCTTGAGAATGGCCATATTTTCCTGGTTCCTTTTCTGTGAAACAGTTCTGGATTTAAACTGCAATCTGGTGAATATTACACTATGGAGACTCTGTTATATCAATTTGAAAATTATTGGTCTTTTTAGTTTTAGAAGGCAAATAACTTGGTTGTACTAAAATTGAAAATTTGTTCTCTTGGGAGGTAGTTCAAATCTCTGTTTACTTATTTTATACTTCTGGGCTGCTTTGAGTTTTCCCACACATATGTGCTTCAGAGGTCAGCCAGAAATTTGGGTGGAATGTATACATAGAATTTGAAGCTCTCTCTCTCTGGCTCTCTCATTTCCAGGATTCTCTCCTCACTTTCCAGCAGTTCTGGTTACCTGAAACTCTATCCTCTGATTTTTCATGCCAGAAAGTCCATTGGTTTTCTTTTTGAGTTTTAATCTCTTCAAAAAGAGTGATGACTGTGACCTTCATTTAAACTAAAAGCTGTATCAAAGACAAACCCATTCTGTGTACTTACCTTCTTCCAAATGTTGGCTACATTCTAGGTCTACCTACTTTTATCTTATTTCCAGTACCTTCAGACAATTGTCTTTTGTGTTTTTTTTCCAGAGTTTATAGTTGTTATCTTCAGGAGGGCTGATTCAGTAGGGACTGACTCAGTGAGACTAGAAGCCGAATTCCTACTATCCTTCCTTTTATGAAAGGTTTAACTCCATAATTTTAATAAAATATTTTCATGCAATTAATTTTTTAAATTATTACTTAATCATTGATTCAGTTGGAAATTAATGCAGGAAATATAAAATTATATAAGTATTTTAAGAAGAAAATTTAATTAAAGAAATTATGTGCCTACAAATTATTGGAAAGTTTGAAAGAGTCAAGAGTTTTCACTGGAATTATTGATTTCAAGAATACATAACAATAGCTGAAAACTGTCAAGGAAACACTGTTGTTGCTGCTGCTGGTGTCACCATTTTTCTCTCTTTCTCTTAATACTTACAAAACTTGGGAGCAGAAACTGAATCTAACTTCTACAATATACTCTCAACATTCAAATTCTTATTATTTTGCTTCTCTGAATAAGCAAGATAAAAGAAATATGACCTCAGTTTTGCCTTCCATTTTTACCACCATGGGGAGAACCAAGCAGAGGATGAAACTGAAATAGAGGAGAAAGGAGAGCTAAGAAAACAGATAAATTGAGATTCTGATGGTTATAGTCTGTGATTCACAGTTTGCCTGAAACACAGCATTTATCTGATATATGTTCACATACAGGAGTGATGGATTCCTTTTCCTTTTTATGTACTGAATCCAATTTAACTTGAATTTTTTCACTTTTGGCAGTACAATAAGCCACAATATATCCAGGAACAATTTCAAGTGTTTCAGTTGAGGGGCAAACCCTACCTTCTCCATCCCTTGCCATACGGTTGTGTAAAAAGGCCTATGTGAAATAAATCACACTTTGCTCCAACTTCTATTCTATCTAGAAAGAATCTTGATTAAATTCCAGATATAGGTGTGTGAGACTGAGGATCTCTCAGCCTTTTGAATTTCATTGCTAAGAGTAGAAGCTTAAGACTTTCATTTCCATTTTTTCCTGTTATTTGGATAAAGTCAGCTTATGGAAAAAGAAATCTAGCACAAAGAGTGAAGCTAAGTCAAGTGAAAGAGAGAAAGAGAAAAATATTTATTCATTCATTCAACAAATATTTATTGAATGTGGATTATGTGTCAGGCAATATCCTAGAGATGGGGTTAAAATATTTAGCAAAACAGGAAAAAAATACCCATGGAGAGGGAAAGTAGAGATATATAAAGAAAAAATATAATCATAAATGCACACACATAAAATTGCAAAGCACATTAAAGAGAAAAAGTAAATTATAGATGAGGATGTTTTGCAGAGGTTGACTCCTGAGTCAAGACTCAGCATAATGATGTAATGTAAGTTCCTGAATTGAGCCATATCTGATCATATTTGTCTTGAACTTCCCAGTTATTTAAGCTAATAGATTCCTTTTCCTTATGCTAGATTGTATTGTGCTTCTTTCACTTAAAAACCAAAAGTACTGATTGATATATTACAGTCTTGTTTTTACAATATAATTTTTACGATTTCTTCTTTTTTTCTTTCATTTCCGTTTCTATCTATTGTTTAAGTGCAGAGTATGTTTTGTGTATTGATCTGGGTTCTCCAGAGAAAAAGAACCAATAGACTATGTATATATATTTATATAAATATAAATTAATATATATAAATATATACATATATATTATATAAAAAATTGGCTTACATGATTATGGAGACTGAGAAGTCCCAAGATCTTCAGTTGGCAAGCTGGAGAACCAGGAGAACCAGTAATTAATTCCAGTACATGCCCAAAGATCTGATAACCAGGAGAGGTGATGATCTACGTTCCAGTCTACTTTCAAATTCTAAAGCAGGATAAGACTAATGTCTCAGCTCGAAGAGAGTCAGGCAGAGAGAGAGAAACTTCTCTCACTCAGCCTTTTTGTTCTATTCAGAACTTCAAGGGATTGGATGAAGCCCACACACATCGGGGAGGGCATTCTGCTTTTCTCAGTCTATTGATTCAAATGTTAATCTCATCTAGAAACACCCTCACCGACACACCCAGAATAATAAATAACCAAATATCTGGACACCACATGGCTTGGTCAAATTTATACATAAAATTAACAATCATATTTTGTTACTTTTTATATTACACAGTAATTTTGAAGTTTAAGTATCCTCTAACAGTTGCTTTCATTATATCAAACACACAAATTTATTTTCCAAATCTGAAATGTTTTCTAATATTATGTATTAGAAATTTTTTGTTTAAATTTTTCCTCTTTGACATCCCGTATTTTTAAAAGATTTTTAACTTCACCTTTGATATATATTGTCTTTTTGGTCTTCATCTAATATCCTTTTTTCTTTAATATAATGCAACACATATTTTTCTCTTCCTTACGCTTTGGGGTAGAGAGAAGAGAAATGGAAATGAAGATTCTTGAGAGCTTTTATCTCATAGAATCTTAAAGAATGTAAATATAGAGATTAGAATTGATTTCCTATAGCAATTGCTGGAAAATATAACTGAAATCTGTGCTTCATATGTTCATGTAGCGTACTTTGGAGTGGTCCCTGATTACACTGGAAAAGCCAAGAAAATCACTTTTAGGGTAGTGTGGACCTGGTGGTTTGGGATGAAGTCAATAAGAGTGTTACACATCACTTACAGACAAAATGTTCCTGGAGACAAAGTGTCTCAATTTCAGTTTAGTTTGCATATTTTTCTCTGAATATGGAATTAAAAAATATCCAGGGCTATTTTTTTTCTTGCATGCATGAACCATATTGAAATATTAGAAATGAAATATGTTTCATACTAAGTTCACTGAACAATATTAAAATATTTGAAATAAAATGTTTCTTACTAAGTTTATTGGAAACTTGAGTTTAAAATCTAATAAAAAAGAATGACTATATTTAATTTCCTAGAAAAGTGTCTTCAAGTGCATAAGAATGAGATGAGTGGCAGCTCCTAAGTCCACAATAATTGTGTCAGGAAGTAATTCTAAAAATGTGACTAACTGCAGTATTTTTCAGATTTATTCCTGCTTCAAAACCTCAGAGGTCTTTGAACAACTTTCTTCGAAGAATTACGCAGCTCCAAGGCTGAGGACTTGGCCAGTGCCCTGTAGAGCAATGTTGATTCAGGAAGATGCACTGAACAACCCAGATGCCCAACAAACCCAGGAATTCAGCAATTATTAGGAGGGACAGATGTGCACATTTGAAAATTTCTGGAAGCAGCAGTAGCTGCTGTGAGATCTCTGTTGGTAGCCTCTGAAAATGATGTAACTGGAAAGAAAAAGACTCTGAGTCAGGAGTCATCTCATTTTGGAGTTTCTGCTGCTCTGAAGGCAGTTGCTGGGGACTACCACCAGGAACATCTCTGCTGGGAGCCACTGACAGGATCTGCAGCAAACAGTTGGGTGAGGGGACCTTGTTGTTAAGTGCCTTCAGTCCTCTCTGTGATCCTCTTGAAAGTCACTCACGACTCATGAGGGAGAGTAGAGAGGGTGGATTTTTCCGTATTATCTCACCGAAGAGGAAGAATAACAATTTCCACAAAACTTGAGGGTCTAGAAACTGTGTTGGCAGAGCCTAACAATAGAAAGCTTGACTTTTAACCTCATTTCAAATACAGGAGAGGAAAACAGTGGCATACAAATGCAGAACAGGCACTTAATTGTTTGTTTTTTCTCCAACCCCACAGCCCCTCTCATCTGTCTTGGATCACACTATCAGAGAATTGCAGGAAAGAATGAGGTTAAATAGGGGACTAGCCAAGCACTCTAAGAGGTTAACCATAGGGTTTTAATCCTATTCCCTATCTTTGAGTCAGACACTTGATTGGAGATCTTTCCGTCTCTAAGAAGCTAAGAAAAGGCAGAGTATCACCTGTGTGTCCTGCACCTAAACACTCCACAACTTCCTTCAGTCCTCAAAGCTGCTCTTTGCTCTTGTTCTTCAAGGCTGAGACATCACTCCTTTCCTCATCCCTCACACTATGCTCCTGTGCCCCTCTCCTTGGTGCAGAAACTGAACTTGTGGGGTTTATATGAACATAGACTAAAAGGGAGAACTTCATTTCTTCTTTTGCAATAATAAAGCAAGCTTTATTTGTCCTGATGAAGCCCAAGGAAGAAAACGGCTTCCCCTTCACATAAAAGACCTCAAGAAAATAGCCCTCCATTACTTCCTGTAGTATGGGTTTTCCACATTCACTTCTTTTTCCTTAATTTGCAACAGCCTCAGCTCCTAATGAGCTACCAAGCAACTTGGGATTAATTGCCAATGAATTGCCAATGTCAGATTTTTTACTGTTCCCTTTTTATCCTATTAGACCTGTGGGATTTGGGGTCCACTGTGTTTTCTGCATCCTCTTTACTCATTGAAAGTATTGGAACTGTGCCAAAAATAATGTTGCAATAATGGCTCCCTGGAGTTTTGGAAAGTATAAATATAAACCAGCATGTTGGTGCAACAATTAATGAGACAAAAGTTCTTTGCTGGTGCTTTGGGGGATGCTTCTCAGAATTCTCAGCAGAGAAGGTGGGAATACCCAGTTTTGGGCATTGAGATATCAGTAGCAGAACGGCATAGAAAAAAGCCATTTCAGAATAGAAATTTTGGTAGTAGTATTAATTTTTGAGTCTTATTTGATTATAAGATTTCTAGGTTTCACTGGATTCTAATAGCTGTGTGCTAGGGAACATAGGGAAATAGCCCCTGTTGGGTTATTTTATGTGTGAAATTGAGTAAAGATAGTGTTTGGGTCTCCTGATGGTGAAGTGCCAGTCACCAATGATAATCTTAGAAATGTTCTAATTATCCCATGAGCTTTAGTTTGTCTATCTAGTTAGTGATGGTTAAAGAAGAACATGTGAGGAAAACAAGGCACAAATACATATGGTAGCTTGAAAAAATGGAGGACAGTGTAGGCCTTTGGGGAGATAAAATAAAATAGGGCATCACCAACTGAGCTTAATAGGCACAAGGATGGTTTCAACCAAATGCCATAAAATACACTCCCCAGAGCCCATGGAACTGACTCCCTGTCTATCAACCATCTCTGAAAGACTGACTCCTAGATCTTTCTGGATCTCTGAAAGACTGATTTCAGTCTTTCAGAAGTCCTTCCTGGATAATTGAAAAAGAAAACGCGCACCTATAACTCCCTGTCAAGAATGAGCTTTTGACATTTACTTCATTCAACTTTCATTCTTAAATGTCACATGAAACTATTCTCTTGTGGCAATGGTATATTAGAAAAGTCTAGGGCCGGCCCTGTGGCTTAGCGATTAAGTGCGCGTGCTCCGTTACTGGCAGCCCGGGTTCAGATCCCGGGCGCGCACTGAGGCATCGCTTCTCCGGCCATGCTGAGGCCACGTCCCACATACAGCAACTAGAAGGATGTGCAACTGTGACATACAACTATCTACTGAGGCTTTGGGGGAAAAAAGGAGGAGGATTGGCAATAGATGTTAGCTCATAGCCGGTCTTCCTCAGCAAAAAGAGGAGGATTAGCATGGATGTTAGCTCAGGGCTGATCTTCCTCACAAAAAAAA